GTCCTCCACGTGGACTCGAGACATGACTCGCTGGGGGTTGTAATAATACACCCCCCTCCCTTCCCCTCGCCAAAGGAGGAAAAGAAGTGTCAGGTAGCACGGCGCACGTACGGCGAACCAAGACCCCGGAGGCCGAGACCCGTTCTTGCTTTCGTCCCTGAGCGCCGTTTGAGCTTCGATGGCGTTAGACGTTTGAGGGGATGGATGGATCCAAGAAACTTGTGGACACTGACGGTCTTCTCTTCCTTCGATTAGCACCTACAAAGCATCCTTTTAGTCTCATCCAAGTCGTTCGTCATCTCTCCTTCGTGGCACTTGAATAGTCCGGTCCTGTCTGAGCCCCTGGTCCCTGCGTCAGCTTTTTTTTGCCCTTGTTCCCCTTCAAGGGGAGCGGGTCTAGAGTTCAGGGGTACCACCATCTTTGACCTGCAAGTCAAACGCCCCCTGTCAGTTTCTTTTTTGTCGAGTACGTATTCTCTCTGTGGTAGTACCCGTTGGAGGGGAAAAGCGGTGGGTGGTGGTAGATTGTCCTGAGACAAAAGTCACCTACCATGTCTCATCGGGGAATCTACACACGGAGGAAACGCTGTCGAATGGTATTTACATGCATTTCATAGACTGACCCATTCACAAGCTGCCACGGGCCAGGTTGTCAATTGTCAATCGACTGGGTTTAGCCCGCTAGAGAGGGGGGACCAGAAAGCCGCTACTGCAGCTCATCCTTGAACGATTTGAACATTGGGTCCATGTTCCTCTTCTCTTTCTCTCCCTATTTCCTAGCGGGTACCTGTCTGTCCATCCATCCCATGGAGGTTTGGGTCCCCCACCTCTTCGCACGGATCTTTTTCTGTCTCGCGTCATGATTACCGCCGGGCTGGCCACTCTCCTGTCACTGACACCTCTCCCTTTTTGATGAAATCTGAAAAGAAGAGAGGTTCGAGAATTATGCATGTATCCGCTTTCGTGGAAATCAAGATCTCTCTCTTCAAACTAGACTGACACCGAGTCCAAGCCATCTTTTTTTTCCTTTTTCCTCTTCTTTTTCTAGACCCTGTCTCCCCAATCAGCACCGTGGGCTGTCGAAACAGTTCGCCCCAGGTTTCTTCTCTCCCTTGTTTTTACAAAAAAAGAACGATCCCCCCCTTCGTAGCCTTTCATTCCATCATCTTTTTATTTTATTTTTTTATCTGGGCGGCGGCCAGAATGCTCGAGGCAGGTCCCCTGAGGCCTCTCCTTTAAACTTCTTTCTTCCCTGCGATTAAAGCAGATAATATTTCCCCCATCTTTTTGTCGAAGAGGGGAGACATCATGGGCTTCTTTAGCTTCTTGACGCGAAAATCTTCCTCCGATAAGAATCAGAATCAGATCAAGGGTCAATCTTACAAATCGACAGTCGCATCAGTACCTCCCATCCAAGGTGAGCTTTATTTTTACTCAAAAAAGGATCGAAAGACGGTCAGTCTAATTCGGGGGGCAACCTTGCAGGAACATATCCGGTCGCTGGAAATGGACCCAACGTGTTGGATCAGCTGCAACAGGCGGCTAGAAAACGAAGCCAGGCTCAACTCTCTGTAATCGATCACGATATCGACCTTGACCCTGCCGCTCCTCCTCCAATGGTCCCTCGCTTCCGCAGCTTCTCCCCAGGACGACCAACAACAGCTCCAAACCAAGCTCACGCCAACAGCTTCACCTCGCGTCCTAGGTCCGTGGCCCGTAGCATCCGCAGCACAAACTCGGCCTGGAGCGTACCCGAAAAGACACGCGCCTCGATCGTGCGCCCAGTAGAAAGACCGCCTCCTGTACCTTCAATCCCCTCTCACCACCGCCGAGAGAGCTCCATCGATTCGTTCCAGGATGGAAACCGGTTCGTCGACGTTCTGGATGCACAGGGAGAGATCAGACCGTCAAACTTTCGCTCGCGCGTCACAGCCACTGGCGCCCGCGAGTACGGGGAAGACGTTGCCGAGCGAAACATTGGCGAAAACGGTCTGAACTTAAACAGCCCTGCCGTCAAGGCCTTTTACCGTCTCTCCAGTAGCGGGAGGTTGACGCTGCAGACATCAGACAGTGGTGGACTCGGTGTTCACGATTATGATGGTTTTGATGATGATGACGATTGCGCTGCTCCGCCGCCTAGCATTCCTCATCTCGATCTAGGAACAATTCGAGAATCTTCAAGGCCGACGAGTTCATCAACAGCATGGAGGTCATTTTCAGGCTCAATTGGCGGAGAAATGCTAAGATCCAGTAAATCCCAACGACGTCTGGATAAACGCCCAGACACATCAACGCAAACAGCAGCAGCATCTTTAAAAAACCGGAGGAGATCATTCAACGCATTCGCATCTACACCTGAACCGCACAGATCTAAACCGAGACCTCTCAGCTTGCATCCTTCACTTACAAATTTTAATTACTCGGCGCCCTTGTCACCACCGCCGATGCCCAAGTCTCGTCCAAAGACTAGTGAGGGTCGGAGTCGACAGCGAAGCATTGGGATGGTTGAGATTGAGAGTTTGGTTGACGAAGCTTTTGATACACCAGCACCATGTCCGAGTATGTCTTTCTGGTCAAATTATAGAAGAAAGCTAACATGAAATAGCCATCCCTGTGCGATTCAAACAGGCAGAGCATCGTCCCGATTCACAGCTGTCGCGCCAAGATCTACTTCTCCCACGTCATGACCCTCCAATTCCTCGCCATGATCCTCTTGTTCCTCGTCATGATTCTTCTCATATTCGCCCCGATACGCATCACGGTCCATCAACCCACTCTCTCTACCCCCGCAGCGACATTTCCCAACCTTCACGACCTTCCAGCTCTTCATCAATGGATAAACCACCACGTAATCGCTCTGTAGGCGGCGCCTCACTTCTTCGACATCAACGCCTCGACAACATTACCGAACACATTCCCATCCGGACATCTTCTCTAACACTTCAATCTCAGCCATGCATCACACCAACTACAATGTCGTCCGGCTACTCCAGTAATCCCTTCCCGAAATCTCTCCAGCATACTCCGAGCACTTCCATCGATGCATCTCTTCCTCCATCAATCAAGATTAATCACGAGCGCGAACAGAGCGGTGGAATGACCAGTCTCGGAAATAGGAACAGCTACTACAACGCCGCCGAGGATGACTTTTCTGCCGATACTCTTGTACCCTCACGACGGGAACTGGAGCAGGATCTAAGTCACCCCATCAACGCAGGTGTAGAAGCCGAGTACTACATCTCGGATGCAAGCGAAGACTCTGTAGACTCTTTCATCGCCTGGAAAGAAAAGCGACGCGGAGAAGAAGGTCTATTATACAGGGAAGACTACGGAATCGCAGGAGGCGGTCTCCCAGGCCTATTCGAACCTCTCCCTATCCCCAAGGCCCCAGCAGAACCACCAGCGCCTATCAAACCACCAAAGACACCCAAGAGTCCAAAACGCCCAACCACAAGAGGCACCACTCGAAGCAACAAGTCAACACCAAAAAAGACACGAAACCAACAACATCTCCGCCGAAGCCGAACAAGCACCTTCTCCCCACCCCGCCGCGAACCCCGCAACGGCTCATCCTCAGACGACGAAAACTCCGACTCATTCTGGGAACGCGCACGCGACATGCCACACGGACCCAGCTTTGTCTCCCTAGCCGAACTGGGCATTGACCTACGACATTTAGGTCTAGATCAATACGGCCTCACGGAGGAAGACGATGCCAAGGTTGACATTCACACGGCTGTGAAGCTACGAAAGGAGATGCGGCGACGAAAGATGGAGTCTTCTTCTAGTCGAAGACATACTAGGAGTTATGTTGACGAGGCGGATGCTTCGAGCCGACGACATACGAGGAGTTATGCTGATGAGGCGGATGTAGAGGATTAACGAGATATGAGTATGGAGTTTTTTTTTTATTATGGCACAAAGCTAGACGACTTGACGATTTCCGTCCCTCTTTGCTAATTATTATTTTTTCTTTGTATCATGGATAAGGCGTATGGGATATGTACAGCACCACGAGCATAGCATCCAAAGCATCTAATGAATATTTCACAACATCAATGTACCCTTCCAAAGACGAACAAATAACAATACAGCATCAAACATGCTGTATCCTTGAAACCAAAATCTACAGCACGGACCTTTGATCCACCGCCTCACTTTCCGATTCAGCTCCGCCATCGAGATTTGACAAAAAGCAAACATTGGAAAATCTTTGCTTCCAATAGTTTAGTCCAAGTAGATGACAAACACAAGCTACCGTGGTGGCGGGCTGAGCCCCCAGCCACGCAAAGATGTTGAAACAAATCGTTGAGCTCGGTTGGAGAATGAGGCTAAAAATATCTACTCAAACGGATCGTGAGGCCACATTCTCTTACCTTGTGTTGGTACGGAGCTATCGCGCTGTTGTTGGTTTGCCTCATATCTGGGGCTGGCTGAAAGAAAAAAAAACATCTCGGCTGGCAAGGATCACGTTGATCATAGTGGCAATTCGGTATTGTTTTCTTCATCTACCGAAAGATCCCCCCTTCCCTTGTCCATCAAATCTCCCCCGGTTCGGTTCGCCTGATCAAGATTGCTCTTCCTCGTCCCGTTCAAACATCTGCTCTCCGACTCCCCGATATCTCCACTCAGTACACTCAGCTGAGAGCTTCAGCTCAAGCCCATTAATCTCGCTCTACCTGGACATTTCGGGTTCAATCAACCTGCCGACAATGTTGACTGCCTTAAAGAACAACGCCTGAGGGCAATCATCAGTTTATGCATCAAAGCCTAATGACGCGAAGACTTCAAAAGCAAAAACAAACAGCACCTTCCCAAATACACACCCCATGACATCATCCCGCAACCCGTGCACGTGCCCACCTCCAAAAAAGGCACCCTAAGACTTTCTTTCACCTAACGCCTCAACACCAACAAAAGCATCACCAAACTACTGTATCAAAAAATGTGTAAAACAACGAAAAAAAGAATTCCTCAATTGGGAGGATTTTCTCGTCACGTGCCCTCTAGCGGAATCGAACCGCTGATCTTCGCATTACGAGTGCGACGCCTTACCATTTGGCCAAGAGGGCTTAGTGGGTTACTTGGATGACCGAGGGGCTTGGGTGAAGGCATTATGAGGGCTGGCTTGGTGGTTTGACATGGGGCTTTGTGTAACACAACGAAGGAATATTGGTTTAGGGATTGAGAGTGAACGCTGTATTCGCTTTTATGGTTACATGAGTTGCGAAAGGTGATTCAGGCATCACCATGACAATCGCTGATGCTGTTAAAGTGGCACAGCACAACCACAACCGCTAGCCTCTACATCCGCCAGCACCCCTTTCTAACCCTGTCTCTGCAGACATATCCCTTCAATCTATATCTAGATTGCCGTTCCATGATCATTAACATCATCTTGCACAACTCCAGGCGAACAGTCGCATCCTAGAGCCCGCTTCATCGTCTCAAAGTCGCCCTCATGCTCATCAAGCATCGCAAGAGCCTTCTTCGCTACAGCAATCTTGGCATAACGCCCACTCTTGGCTGTTGCATTCGCAATTACCTTCTGGTGCACCATGAACACGGCCACCACGTCACTCTCTGTCAAGGCGGCGATACCCTCCTCCACGCCGCAGGGTACGTTCTCTGCACTGACGCGCCAGTTGGCGCAGCCTAGATCTTGCTGCATCTTCCTGGACAGATATGTGACAGGATGCTTGTTAGCAAACGAATCATATAGTGCCATGTCCTCAAAGTACGGTTCAATGAAGCGCGTAAAGAAGTCGCGGACCACTTGGTAGTCGTAGTTGGAGTCGACAAACATGGCACCCACGAGAGCCTCCATGACATCCGCAAAGGCCTTGGGTGGCGCAGATGCTCTAAGCCAAAAGTCTTTGCGAATGGCGGTCTTGTTCGCCTTGGCTTCTTGACGTGCGTCTTCTTCGACAAGCTCAAGCTCACTCGCAAACGAACTTATCTGCCCGATTAATGAGGATGTAGTAGAGGTAAGGTGCTTGTGAAGATCAAGCTTCACACAGAGACACCCAAGGAACTGGTTCGAGGCCATGGCCATCTTGTGCTCAGTTAGCCATTGAGGATCCGCCTGAGGGAACCGTTGGAACAGGTTATCAACAATGGCCATATCCAGAAGAGCATCGCCCAGAAACTCGAGGCGCTGGTAGTTTGGTACGGGGTCGTAAGGCCAAGATGGATGTTTGAATGCGCTCCGGAGCAGTGCTGGCCATTTGAAGCGGTACCCAACAGCATCAGCTACACAGTCGACGAGACGGCGTTGGTTGACGTTGGCTTCAGCCTGTTGCCAGGCGGGCATCTCGAAGGCGGCAAAGTAATCCTCAAACTTCTCCATCTTGTGATTCTTGCTCTTGACCATACGCGTGACAGCCTTGACAGCCAGGTCCATGCTGCCCCCTTCACCCGAGACGTAAGCAGCTCCGATGAGGGCCTCGCAGACGTCGGCAATTGACTTGTCAGCCAGATTGTGTCGCATCTCCGTCTTTGGCGCTTTTCCCTTCTTCAGCGGAAGATCAGGGTACCAGGTACGCCTGTCAAATGCCTTGGATCGGATGTACTCGTGGAGTTTGCGGTCAACAGCGTGGTTGAACAGATTTTGGTTGCAGATGAGAATCATGCGCTCAACGTGATATCCGCATTCATCGCTCTCAGGAATGAGAGTAAAGAGGGAAATGGTTGTGGCCATCTTCAAAAACGAGTCGCCTAAGAATTCTAATCGCTCGTAGTTGTTCCCCATGCCAGGCTGAAAGTTGACCTGCTCTTCATCGTGCTCCCCAGAATTGTCGCTATCCTTTGTCATGGCCTCGAGAGCCAAGACAGGTGGGATAGGCAGGCCTAACATGGCGCAAGCATCAAGGGTGATGAGGGCGGCATCGATACGATGAATGACGCCCGGGAGCGCCAGGACCATAAATGCCACGTCGAGGGGGATCTTACTCGTTAGCGATGGCTGATAAAGGTAGGGGATTACTTACTGGTGAGACTTTGAGAGGCTCCAAGATCACGAAGCAATCGTTGTTGACCTCCTCGTCAACTTGGAACTCATCCAACATGTTTCGTCGTAGTGACAGCAGCTGTGCCTTGACAACAGGCTGATCATCTCTCCACGTGACCTTCATACGGGTGTTGTAGTAGAGACTGTTGCTGTACTCTTTGATGGTTTGAGCTACCTGACGATACGCTCGGCTTCTCGACTCTGGAACGCCTTCGGGCGTGGGATCGGAAGGCTTCTTTGACTCATCAATTCCTTTGATGACAAGCTTGCGTCCTCCGTCGTAGGGGTCGGTGACAAACTTGTTCACAAAGAACTCCTTCGGGGCATTCTCCCAAGGAAGGCTATCGTTCTTGGTGGCTTCGACAATGCTCCAGTCAACAGCTTGGGAAACTGAACTGTGGCCATGTTTGCAAGGGGCCAGAAAGTAAGGGAACTGGTCGGCACCGGCATCGAATTCTTTACTGAACACGTCAGAAAAGACCTTGAGGGTGAACCTGGTGATTGCGTCAATCTCCTCCGAAGTTAGTGTCAGCGGCTCTTCGGAGACTGTCAGTTTGGCCACGGACGAGCGCCCATTGCCAAAGAATAGGGGAACTCCTGGGAGGTCCGGAAGTTTCTTTCGCGAAAGAAGCATTAGTGGTCGACTAATAAGGTCTTCTCCAAGAGCACCAGGATTGTCAAGCGTAATGACTGTCGCAAAGAGCTCCTTGCAGTCCCCACGCTCTTTCCAGATATCGGGCCTGAGACGCATGGGATATTCGGCCTTCTTGTTGGAGCTTACGGCGAGCCGGGCATTTCGCATCTTGGGAATTGTCTTGCTCAAAGTGGGCTGAAGATGTCCGTCAATGTGCTTGTCTTTGATCAGCTTCACACAAGCCTCAAAGGCTGCTGAATATTTAGCCAGTAGCTTGTTCCGTTGCGGAAATCCCGACATTGCTTTGAGGGGCGAAGCATCTGGGAGGATGACATCGGCGATGAACTTTGGGCCAAGTTTGGTGACTGTGAACTCGACCTTGGAGGAAATTCCTGGGGTAATAGACGCAGCATACTTGGAGAGAACGTCCATGCTGTGTGCAAAGGTGAGTCGAGCCCCGGTCGAAGGTATCTCGTACACTTTCTGGACCATGAGTTCATCTTGAACCGTGTCCATAACATCGTCCTCCAGCTTCCTATCAGCAGGAAGAGATAAACAGAACTTTTGTAGAGCTGTAGAGTCTCTCTCTGCCTGCTTCAGGCTTCTGAGCTGTCCCATATTGCCTTCCTCTAGCATGGTGATGTATCTCGAGTTTGCCTGTCTGGCCCGCCCTTTGGACTGTAGATACTGAATGACTGAGTTGTAGAGGTCGAAGCGAATCACGAGATCGCAGTCCGGAACGTCGATGCCCTCCTCGGCGACAGTGGTTGCAAAGAGACAGTTGATGCTGCCTCGCTTGAACTTTTGAAGGGTCACGACTTGATCGCGATGTGTCATATTGCTGTGGGTTGATGCTGCTTGGGAACCAATCTACAAGGTTAGCGGTTGGACATGTCTACTTCTAAGAAACATACCATGTAGGAGGCGACCATTCCTGGAATCCTCATTCCTTGCTGCTGATACAAGTCCGCAAGAAGCCAAGCAGTGTGCCTCTTCTCAACAAACACAATGCACCGTTTGGTACCGTCCCGCGTGAAGGCGTGCAGCAAGATTTCGTGTAGTTTCTTCATCTTGGGAGATAGCTCAGGTGAAGATGGCTCAATCGGGGAGAGTTCACACTTCTTCACAATATCTCGGACACGTCGAACAGCCTCTGTCGCGTGGTCTGCCTGGTTTGTCGCAAAGTCCCTAGAAAAGTCGCGATCAGTCCTGGCCACAAGCCGCTTAGTCTCATTGTCGGTGAGAAGAAGGATCCAGTATCTATCGGCACACCAGCGACCAAGAGTCGATGCAGCTTCCTTGGTGAATTCGAGTGATGCCTTGAACTGTGAATTGCGTAGGACCTGGGCGGATACCAAGTCCCACAGCTTTGTCCTTGCGTCTTCTGGAAAATCCAGTGACTCGTAGTTGACTCTTTCTTCGACTTGTTTTTGTTGGCACATGGCTTCCATCAACACTTCGTTGGAAACAGTAGCAATCTCGCTGCAAAGAAAGGTCTCCAGCTCGAGGGCAGCCGCTTTCACATCCTTTGTCTGCGAGTCGACAGGTGAAGCAGTCATTCCGAGAATTCTTGGTCGCTCTCCCTGATAGCGGATGTAGTGATTTCTCATGATGCGGGCATAGGGGTGATCCTTTTTGGCATGATGCGCCTCGTCAAAGATGAGAAGGTTGATCTGGGACATCTTGATGAACCCATCGTTAAGGCAGTCCACCAAGATCTGGGCCGTACAGACAACAACCATGTTCTCATTAAACTGTTGATCCCAGTACTCTTTCTTCCTCACCATGCCCTTCATGTTGCCCCAGAACTTGGTGATGTGGTGCTCACCAAGGTTGCAGTTGAGGACGGCATATTGTTGGTAACAGAGGGCAACTTTTTCGACCAGGAAGAAGGCGACTTTCTTGGGCTTTCCGATAGCTCGATCTTCCACTTCTTGCTCGAGGTAATGTCGAAGAAGTAACGCGGCGATGAGTGTTTTGCCGGTACCTGCCACTGTCAGCGCACTCACGACACAGAGCGGGGAACCTACCAGTAGGCAGAACCACGATGGTGTTCTTCTGTTTTGCCCGCTCAAAGAGCTCAATCTGATACTCTCGAGGTGTAGCGATGATCTTTCTGCTCTCGCTCGTCTTGATGAGATGTGCGACCGACTGATAATTGGGGTCGTTTAGAGCAGCAGCAGAGGACTTGGTGACCTCCCGTTGGTTCTTGCTCACCCATTCCTTCAGGGCAGCAGAGTCGAGGCGCTTCTTTTCGGTGATTTTCCGAGGCTTCTCTGGATTGATGACAAGCCGATAGATATCATCTTCGTCGTCGGTGTCGATGTACTCGGGTCCAGCGCCTTCTTCTTGGGATGGTGCTGGCTGTTCACCTGGGGCATCGGGATTCTCCTGGGTCTTGAAATCGGTTGTACGATGCTCTTTCAAGA